GACAGGTCGTAGAATGCGCGGCTTCATTCCGTCTCTGAGGTAGTAACCATCTACTCAGTATAACACCCAGGGGTCGCACTCGAGATGCACTCGGGGGAGATGCAGTCACAATAAATCACGAGTAATAACATTTTCACCCACGGACATGCACGTTTCGAATAATAAATTCTCATCAACGATGTTGGAAGTAAAATTATAGAAGCCGCCAATGTGTAAAATAGACATATCATATTTTCGTTATAGCTAAATATCGTCACGTTTTGATTTCGTCATACGTAAGGATGCAGTGAATTTGTTCTCTGTTTTCATTGGTTATATTGAATACAACAGTTACTGTAACTAGGTCATGCAGTTACGTCACTAATTTGATTTGTCTCTTGTGATTGGTTTAGACACAGAACGGAAAAATAAAACGGGTTTTACCTTTTTAGTTATGGACAATTAAAACGTCAGAATGGGACATATTTGAAAAGTTGTGTACAGAGCTATATTCACTATAATTGTAAGACACTGGTTTGAAAATTATGAAATTTTGCAATTTATAGTCTACACAAAGACAAAGATTATGTTTAACCTGATTGCGCAATTACCAAAGATGCAAAGGTCTCCAGAAAACCAGAATCAAACTTGTGCGATTTCTTTTCATGAAAGAAAAGCATTTATAGAAATAAAAACACTTAGAAATGATAAGATTATTAAACAAACAAAGGATACATCATGTTACTTTCAGATGTCGCTAGGAAATAACAAAATTTGGCCAAACAAAACAACAATACGATTTTAGTACATCGACTAGTCTCGTTCAACCAGACTCTGGTGATCCATCGTTCGGTTGAACGATACTAGTACATCGACATAAAGTCTTTGCAAAGTAAAAAAAGTCCCTAGGCAACCCGTAACAGAGCAGGCAATGGAGAGAACCCCTTACCTTTCAGAGATCACAAGAATTTAAGTGGACTAGGACCGGAGTTGAGTTCATGTGGCACGAGGACAAGGCAACAACAAAACTGGTATTCGAACTTGTGACCATTCAAACACTAGACGAATAAATTACCAGCGACCAAGAGCAGACGACAATACCACCAAGACTTAGCTCTGACGATTCTTCCTAAAGCTTAGCTGAAAATAATTCTCCTCTAAACTAACTTTGGGTTGGAATCTGAGGGACAGATACCCTGTCACTACAGCTCCGGATAACGTAACAGTTTGCAAACTAGTGTTCCCTAGCAAAATGAATGGGACAAGGCCAATGCCACTGGTAATAAAACTAGTTCATACCCGCTACACGTTTGATACTTGAATAATGTACATATTAACCAGTTTGGCTTCCTGGAATTATTATGACGAAAATAACGTGTCTTTTATATTAATGCAATGTAATGAAAATACCATTCAAATCGATATGTTTCATTTGGTTTGCTAATGTTTTAAGTCCTGTTAACATTATGGCAAATATGTTTCAACAATTGTCCTGATAGTGCGTAGTTACCCCTAGTGTTGAGCCAGAAGATAATGACCCATGGAATAGGCACTGGGGGTTCTGAACCCCCGGTATAAGGTCTGCGGGTGCTGACCCCTGGTGTAGGAACTGACGGTACTGGTTCCTGGTGCAGAACCTGGCAGTGCTGATACCTAGTGTAATATCTCACGGTGCTAACCCCTGGTGTAAGATCTACGGGTGCTGACCCCTGGTGTAAGATCTACGGGTGCTGATCACAGGTGTAGGACCTGGCAGTGCTGACTCTATGGTATGAGGTCTGAGGGTGCTGACCCCTGGTGTAGGACCTAACGGTGCTGACCCCTGGTGTAAGATCTAAGGGTGCTGATCCATGGTGTAGGACCTGGCAGTGCTGACTCTATTGTATGAGGTCTGAGAGTGCTGACCCCTAGTGTAGGACCTAACGGTGCTTACCACTGGTGTAATGTCTGAGGGTGCTGACCTCTGGTGTAAGGTCTGAGGTTGTTGACATCAAGTGCATGACCTGACAGTGCTGACCCCTGGTGTAGGACATGGCAGTGCTGACCCCTGCTGTACGTTCTGAGGGTGCTGACCCTGGGTGTAATGTCTGAGGGTGCTGAACCCTGGTGGTGTTGACCCCTGTTATGAGGTATGAGGGTGCTGAACCCAGGTGTAGGACCTAACGGTGGTGACCCCTTGTGTAAGGTCTGAGGTTGTTGACCTCTAGTGCATGACCTGACAGTGCTGACCCCTGTTATGAGGTCTGAGGGTCCTGATCCCAGGTGCATGACCTGCCAGTGCTGCCCCATGGTGTAGGACATGGCAGTGCTGACCCCTGGTGTACGTTCTGAGGGTGCTAAACCTTGGTGTAATGTCTGAGGGTTCTGACCCCTGGTTTAGGACATGGCAGTGACGACCCCTGGTGTAAGTTCTGATGGAGCTGACCCCTGGTGTAATGTCTGAGCGTGCTGATCTCTGGTGTAGGACTCAATCATGCTGACACACGGCTTAGGGTCAATCATGTCGTTACCAGCAGTCGGTATTCAACCTGCCAGCGTTCCTCAAAATCATTATCAGTGTAAATTGGCTCCAGATAATTTTCTTGTTCACTCAAGGGTCTGATCACATTACCCGTAGTTACGAGGCATAAATATTGAACTTCCGGCGACGGCTTCGAGATTAATTAACTTCCGGTCTCCCCTTCCTGCGTAGGGTGTTAGAGCTGTAAAACGCCATACTTACTTCCGGTAATCTCCATTAGCGTGAAATATACGTAAAAAGTATTGCGGCAATGGGTTTTGGTGTATGATGTATCATATTGATATGATTTATTAAAAAGAAACACGGTTTACAGTTGTGTGTAATGTAAAAGCACTGTGCTTCTCTTGTTTATTTGATCTCAATATAATTTCCTAACAAATCTTGATCATAAACAGTTAAGTTGTTTAATCGCCCATATTATTATTGTGCCTGTAAGGGATTATTTATGAAAGAAATTCAAGACATAACCATATACATTTACACTTTATTTAAATATTTTGAAAAATAATTTCGTTGTAAACTGAACATAATAATTAAACACATTACCTTTGTAGTAATTTCATGGATATTTCGAGGTGGAGATTAATTTATTGTCAAATTTCAATAACCTGCCCCGTATATATACATGTATATATATGGGGCAAAGAAGTAATTCCAACAGTGTGGACAAGTTTAGGTTGTCAAATTTTCGGTGCGATCCGCTCCTTTTTCAAGACACAGTGAAACAGAACAGTTACATGTACATATACATCATATTACAAGAAGAAAAAATTGATATACTATAATTGAAAATATAGCTATTATATAAAACCAATAGTTCCCTCGGCTAAAGACAGCCGAAGGCAGCAATTAAGCTGAGAGCTTCGCGGACAAGGAACGCTGATGTAGAGGACCTTTTCTTGCGCAAGATGCACTATCACATAAAGTGAGTCAAAGAGAGATAAGCACCAGAAAGAAGGGACGAGATATCAAAAACGTGGAACATGTGCATGTGGGAATCTGGCCCTGTTAATGTGAAAAATCTCAATTTCCTACGGAATGCCCTCATTAGTCGCCTCGCAATTCTGCAGTGGATTTAACAGTCACAGCAGGGGGGTCCACACTTAGTCGCCTATTTCGGTTTGCAGTGATGATGCATGTAATTATCAATTAAGTGAGTGCAGGAGGAATAAGTAGATGAAATGGCTAAGATACTGTATAAATCTGCAAAATTAATCTGACAACGGCTGTTGGTCACACACATTGACATGCAGGCGAGATAGCAGACCAACTGTGCAGTAATGCACCAATAGGTCAAATGCCCACTGGAAGGAAAACGAGCGGATGGCAACGGTAGCGGGTTTGTAGATTGGTGATCCAAAACCGTTCTCTCGTACGTCGTCTCGTTTCATCGCATGTGGGGCAATGATATATGGCAACAACCTGCATGTCTTTCCAACTGTGGCTAGGCATATTAAAATGCCTTGCCACAGAAAAGTCTGGTTTGTTCTGCTTGGTGGAGCAGCGGTGGTTGTTGATTCTGATATTGAGCTGGGTGCAGGTATCGCGTACGTACTGTAAATTGCATTTTTGCAGGTAATAAGGTAAACCACATTGACTGATGTGCATGTCAGTGTTTGTAGCATGTGATACACTTTGCCGTTGATTGTACATTGAAATGTATCTGTGGAGGGCGTGTATGGACACAGTTTGCACACCTTCTTGTTACAGGTATTGAAAGAACCTTTCGCCGCAGCAGGGTTAGGTGTCGGTAGCTTGCTGCTTACCATCTCTAATGTGTTTAGGTCTACGATATGCCAGTATAGGAGACTCTGAACAGATCTGCCTATGTTTCGCTGAAGATTCGATGATGCGCCAGTGTTTTTTCAAGATAGATGGAAGTGGCGGCATGTCTGGGTGGAACATGACTACACAAGGTACCCTTTGTGTTAGGGGTCTGACTTTGTATACAAGCTGACTTGCCCTGTCCAGAACCCTCACTTTGTCTATTTCCCGATCTATCAAAGTAGATATGTATCCTCTGCCAAGAAGATGGGACTTTAACTCTGAACATCTGCGTTCAAAGATGATGTCATCCGAAATAATACGCCTGATGCGCGGGGCTTGGGAATAGGGTATGCTTCTCGTGGTGTGCGAGGGTTGACAACTGAATGGGAGGAGATACTGGTTTGTGTCAGTAGGTTTACAGTGGAGGTCCGTACTAATCTTACCATCAATCAGAGTTGAACTGGTGTCCAAAAATGTGTTGCTCTCCGTGGAGATATCCGCTGTGAATTTGATGGTGGCGTGGAACGCGTTAACGAACTCATTAAACTCGTCAAGGGAGTCCCGACCCGATGTCCATTTGATTTCAACGTCATCGATAAATCTCAACCAGCAAACTGGCTTAATTGGAGCAGATATTAAAAGTTGGGCTTCAAGATATCCCATAAAAACATTGGCATATGATGGGGCCTTCTTAGTACCCATGGCTGTACCGCTAACTTGTATGTAGTTATCCTCATTGAATGTTAAGTGTGAGGACAAGTCTCAGTAAATCCACCAGGCTATCAGTCGATGGGTGTTTGGTACTGCGCCGTTCCAATGCCTCGCGACAGGCAGCAATGCCGCCGTTATGCGGTATGTTAGTGTAGAGGTAAACGACGTCCATCGTAACTAATAATGTACCTTCTGGTAAGTTCTTATCAGGTGTTTTGTTTAGATAGTCTGTGTTGTCTTTTAAAAAAGATGGTAAATGTTCCACGAATGGTCGGAGGTGGGAGTCAACAAACTGGGAAATTTTCTCCGTCGGGTGTTTGATGGAGTTCATGATGGGTCTACCAGGGTTCCCAGGTTTGTGAATTTCAGGAAGAAGATAAAACATTCCTGCTTGAGGGTTTTCGGGGCGCAGGAATTTCGCGGTATCGTTGTCAATATCACCCTTCTCTAAAATTCTATTGATGGTGTTATTAATCTGCTGTGCGTGTACGTGCGTCATGTCACTATCGACCTTACGATAAAATGTCTCGTTGGAGAGTTGCCGATAAGCCTCTTGGATGTAGTCGTCCCTGTTCATTATAACAACTGCACAGCCTTTGTCCGCTGGCTTGATGACAATGTCCAAACATTTTTCACGGATTTGAGTGCCTGACGTTCCAAATGTGACAGATTGTCCTTGGTTGTCTGCGTGTTGTTTAAGTGGACGGCTACTTACTCCTTCACTGCACTGATGAACGTTTCGAGAGCAGGTTCTCTGCTAGGAGGAGGGTTCCATTTACTTTTATGTTTGAATGGATTGATCAGGGGTGCGACGGGAGACTCTTCTGACGGAGTATCCTCTACATCATCTGGGTCACGGTCGTTAGCAAAGTACACGCGTAGCCGAAGTAGCCTGTAGAATCTGCCCATGGCTTCGATCAGCTCTGCATTGTTGGGGCTTTTGGGGATCGGACAAAAATTAAGATCCTTAGTACAAAGAGCATGCTCTGGTTCTGTAAGGGGACGGTTTGATAGCTTGACGACTGTATTACTCGTAGTAATGGTCTTGACAGTTTGGTGTTTACGTCGGAACCTTCTCCCTCTTGTCTTTTTAACTGTGCGACGTGAGTTGATGTCAGTTTCCGGGAGATTGTAAAGCCCATCGCGGTGGATTTTTTCCATTTGTGTATGTCTAAGAGATGTACATTTGATGTTTTCGAAATGTTGAATCTTCTGAAGGTAGATGTTTCTATCATTCTTGGGTGTAACTGAAGTCAGGTGTTTTAAATTAACTGCCAGCTCCTTAGACGCAACAGAAAGTGTACTATTACAAATGCCTTGAAGAAGATGTAGAAGTTTAGTTTGACAGACAAGTTTGATGTGGTCAAAGCGTTCAGTAGCAGATTTAGACATAATACCAACTTTGGGCGTGCACTTGAATCGTAAACCTTGGGGTACAATATTGTCCTGGATGTACGAGTTGTAGTTGCTAAGATGGTGCTGCAAGGTAACAACTCTCGGGGCTCCTCTTTTAGCTTTGTTGTAGATGGTTACTGGATCCATAGTAGTAAAATAAGAAGATACAAGAATTGACAGCAAAGACGATCCAAACAATAACAAGGATAATAGACAACAATTAAGGCAGAAACCGGATCATAAAAAATGTGGACTAAGATATGATACAAATATTTCTTATATAAAGGTATGGGTCAAAGAAGTTGAAAAACTTCTTTGACCCATATCTATATATCTATATATATAGAATAAAAACATATTTTTTTTCAGATCGTCCGCTAGGCCTTTCTGCCTTCCAGGGCTTCTTCAGGCGGATTCCCCTGAAGAAGCCCTAGAAGACAGAAAGGCCTAGCGGACGATCTGAAAAATGTATGCTTTTTTCTATATTTTCCTTCGCAAGGACTTATATACAATGTATATATATATATATATATATATATATATATATTCATACATCAAAACTTAGTTATTCTACAAAATAATTACCAGTGCAATTTTGGCGTCTATATAAAGTTGTATGAAACATGTCGATATCATCATGTGCCGTATACAAAGAAAAAAATCACACATAGTGTGGTTTTTACTACACAGTAAATAAATGACGGTGGAGCTTTAGCACATACGCTGCTGAAGACATGGATACTGCCTTTTTTCTGCTAAAGCAAATGTCGTCTGCTCACTATTTACTGGTCAAGTATCAGGGAACATGTCCTGTCCGTCAGTTCCTCTTAAAAATAAACGTCATCTGCTCATTATGAAGTGGTCATCATTTAGATTCATTCAATATGCATGTATATGTACCGGAAGTCACTTGATGAAATGTGATATTGCGCAATGTCATTTCTGGTTATACCAACCCTTCAGAACTTGACCCCGTGTAGTGTAATAAGGTCATACATGGTAGCGTATTCTTAAACCAGAGGGATGAAATTATGTTACTTCTTCAAGAAAAAATGCGTGGTTGATTTATTAAAGAGAGTTTATAAATGTCCATTGTTAGGAATCATCACATCAAATACATTAAATAAGGATGAAATCGATTCGGCGTCCTATATAACTTGTATCACTCAGTTTATGTAATGTTTTTCAGGATATAATATCGCAATACTGATTCTGTCCTGAAATGCAATGATAAACTGCTTTTATCACTTTATTGCTAGTCCTATAATCCAATTTGTTGATATGCATAGGCTGTTAAATTTCAATTTGATAATAAAGTCTGAAGATACGAGGAGCAGTTTTATCATATTGTTGTGAATAGCTCGGTGCAACCAATAGCATCAGAGTATTGATTTTCAAGTTGATCTCAGTGATCTACTGTTCCTTCAGAAAGACTCATACTCAAAGACTAACCACCAAGGTATTTTCAAAATGTGACCGAAGGAATTCCAAAGACACAGTCTACTGATGACATAAATCAAAACTCGGTCCATTCAAAGCTGCAAAGTACAACATTTCGCGTCAAATCGCCGCTATTGAGCAGTGGCGGATCCAGAGACATATCTGGGGGGTTTCCAAATTTCCAGAGGGGAGGTTCAATGTGGGGAAAAAATTAGGAAAATGGTGAAAATACATGATTTTTAAAGAAAATTGTCAGGCTGGGAGGGTTCCTGAAGCCCATAAACCCCCTGGATCCGCCACTGTTAAGCACCATAATATAGCTGCGACTTGTGGTAAATTATGCTATCTTAAATATTCTACTTATAATATGTGTTTGAGTCATCTCTCTCATAGATAATCATAGCTGTGATCTTTGTTAGAACAGTTTTCTTTAAGGATACATCCTATCTTAATATTATATGTGATTTGTGTAGAATTAACTTCCTCAAATATATGTACACGTTTTACCATTATACCTATGATATCTGTTAGAGTTATCTCCCTTAGGAATATTATATGCTTACTTAAACATTATGCCTATGAGTTGAGCCTTAGGTACCACCTTTCATGATTCACATACCCGTGATCTGTATAACAGTTATTGTCGTCAAGGATATGTGCTATCGTACACATCATACCTACGATCTGCGTCAGGGTTATCTTCTTTATCGGTATATGCTTACACCTTTATGATGTGACATTAAAATTATCTCCTTTAATTCTTCAATTTTTATTTCGTATTGCCTATGAATTCAGTCTTACAAGAGTGTTAGCAATTCTTCCATTCTAGTATGCATTTCAACGTGATTTTCACTTTATAAAAATTGTCCTGAAAAACTATTTTTCAGTTTTGTTTTGAAGAAGAGACTTATGTCACAGAAAAGAAGCGTTTACCATAGCTGAAAGCCGAAGCTGTCAGTTTTACTAACGGTAGATGTAATCTAGACAGATGTATTGGTACGTGGCCCAGTTTGATTGATTTTTTGTATCCCGGCATTCTGATTGGTTAGAAGTGTGGGTGGCGTTGGCGGTGACCTCTGACCCTTGGGGTAGTATCTTGTAAATACTATCTCAGATAGACGTTATCCAATCTATTACTGAACTCATATAAGCGAGAACATTACGATTTACAAACGTCTTAGTGTATTAGATGTTTGCAACCTATGAAGAAGAATTGTATTTACAATGCAGCGATTTCCTATCGACCCCGCCGATGCAGTACTGCGCCTGCGCTGCTATGATACATTGTACCTACGACACAGACAGCCTTCAGTTCTCCTTATCCCTACACTGATTTCTGCCGTACAGGACGAGGTACTCACCGGGGGAAGGCGACACGACATGTAATAAAATATAATCAGAACGTTTACTTGCAGTACAATTTCCTTCCACCAAACAAATGCCGACCAATGCTATCTTAATATTGCAACCTCGACCAAGCAATGTAAGACACGGACAGTTAATATGTACTTCCGTTCACAAGTTTAATTTATACATCCTATCAGAACAATATTATATTGAAGATATGGACACCAGTTGGGACAATTCATAGGAACACATGCTGTCCGTACACACACGCGATTGTTTCTGTCAATTACTGTAGACTCGGTGTTGCTATACTTATTAACTATCACCATATACTGCCATCAGGCTTCGTGTTTTATCTAAATAACATAATGTTTTTTATGATTGGACTTCGCGTGAAGTTACATATTAACTTAATCACTCCAGATGACACATTTAAAATTCTTCCAATTCAAAGGTTGAAATAGTTTATTATGAAATTTCAGGGTGTGGATGAGTTGAAATACCTGTATACCACATGTTTTTACGGATAGCAAGTCCACTGTTGTAATTGGAGCCTTGTAATGTCTGGAAAATCAAGTACACACAAACTAAAATAATTGGTTACCCTAAATAACCACAATCAATTACGCATTTGGCAATGTATTTTCTTAAGAGCTTTTTATGGCCGGATTGTTTTAAGAACAGAGTTGTCTCCTATTCATGAACACTAGAGTTTATTACCATGTTGACAGTCTTGAGTTCGCTCATGCAGCCGAATCGTTTGCGAGGTGTGATTACCGCGGAAAAGGTCACAGACCAAAATAGGACAACTTATTATTGATAAAATCTTTCAGGCTAAAAGCGTTTAAATAAATAAAACTTAGGCGGTCAAGCTCAAGGTATCGCCTTCTATTTTGTTAAGAAATATTAAAATAACTGCTGAAGACAAATGCCTTTTTTATTAATGCGCTCAAAATTGTGCTCAAAAAGTTCTGACTAGTGTAAAAACATACCTTCTGTATTTTTGTACTGTCATAATTGGTAACAAATCGATACTTCCAGTTTATCAGAGCCCAAAATCTTAATTACAGAAGTGCCTTTTCCGGATATTACTCCACGACTATTTTCCAGTTTAGATCGCGTTGGACATTTCTCACCCGATGTTTTTTGTTAGGTTAAAAAATGGCGGGTAATTATTGAAACAATGACAAAGCTTTTTGATTGATGCGTTTGCGTTCTAATTTAAGGTTTGCTTCTGAAGGTGTTTATTTCACATTCCGACTTCTTCACTATTAGTCATAAAGAAAAATTATGTATTTTGAATTTTAGTCGATTGCTCCAATTCAAGAGAGACTGTTTTAAATTTCTAAATGTTGGTTTAATGTCTTTTCCACGTCAAGCTACGATGACAAATAT